TCATCTATCTATCATCAGTCTATATCAGTCATCTATTATCTATCAATGATCTATCTCTCTATCAGATTAGATAGATCATCTGTCATCTATCTATCTATCTATCATCTAATCATCTAATCATAATTGGCATCTCTTAACTTTTTGCTTTGTCCTTCTGAGGTCCTCAATTTGTTCATCGCCCTTCTGCTGAATTCCTTCAGTACCGATAACCTCAACCAGCTCCCAGAAGATGACAGGGAGACCAACAACTTGAAGATTGCCTTTGCTAGGATCCACAGAGGGCTTCATGTTGCAAAACAGGCCACGTTGACCATTTTCTTCCGGGCGCTGGGGTGGAAGGGGAAAGCCGCCACCAAGAAAGTAAAATGTGACTCAGAGAAATGTGAGGTAGAACTGAGAAACAATGGCCATAATTTCAAAGAAGGCCACAGCAGCCCCCAAGGGCGTGAGAAGAGCAATCAGGATGACTTCATCTCCAATCCCAGCGTATTTATCTGTGTTCCCATTGCTCATGTGGAAACTGATAGTGATGCCTCGGAAGATCTGGGCTCAGTTGTGGGGACGGAGTGCACGAAGCAGGTTAGTAGCTAGATACGGGTCATCTCAGCAGGCCACAAAGTCACAGTAGGAGATTCCTACGTGGAGAAGTTGAAACTACCATCTCTGAAGAAGGCGATGGCTAACCATGTAAGGATAGCTATGATGGGTCCATGAAATCATCAGAACTGAGCTTGATTCCAAATTATAGGTCTTCAAATGGAACTCAAGCCCGAAATGTTTTTATTATGAATAATTAAAGGAGAATTTAATTAAAAAAAACACCAAATATATTATAGTACATATAGTGACAGTGGCAAGAATTGCCTATGCACAAAATTGAAAATTAGACTTCCAAAGGTGTGGTAATAAAGAAAGGGTTGGACTATGCGGAGATCGTTAAACTTACATTGGAACTGCAAGCTGGAGAAGAATCAGAATATTATACTGTCTGGGATAAGTGGTATAGCTGGTTAGACAAGAGAAATAAGAATTAAAAGTATATATGTATGTATGTATGTAGATATAAGTGAAAATGTCGATGTCGTAGTGTTGTAAAGAATGCACAAAATAAAAAGAATAAGTCTGATTCCAATAAGTTATTTTTTTTAATTAGTTTTTTTCCCTTAGAGCAGTGTTTTTCAACCTTGGTGCTCCAAGATATCTCTGAACTTCAACTCCCAGAATCCCCCAGCCAGCATGTTGTTCGCAGGGAATTCTGGGAGTTGAAGTCCAAACATCATCATATTGGAAAGGTTGAAAAATGCTGCCCTAGAAGGTCAGTACTGATTCATCAATATCTCCTGGCTTTGCCGCTTACCTGGAAACCAAATTATTGTCAGAAATAGCAAATCTGACACCTGGCAAAAGAGTTAAAATGTATGACTATTTCTCCACATCTTCTCTTTCTATGTTAGAATTTAGCCAGATCCGTAGGCAGAAATGGTGGTAAATAAATTCTGGGAAGATGCATATACTATTTTGTACCATCCTTTAATCATTTTGTAGGCTTCTCGGGGTGACTATAATAGTGAGATGGATGGCATATACGTTTAATAAATGAAACTTCTTTCTCTTCTTTCTTGGATAAGCAGTTGCAACATATCTGCAAGAGTGTCTAGAAAAATAAAATGGGATTAAAGCCTTTTTGTGGGATTTTTTTGGGTGTGTGTGTGTGTTCCTTTTCTGTGAATATCCAGTGACAGAAGGTTGAGCTGTGAGGGTATTTGTTGGAAAATGGTACAGGTTGTCCTTGACTTACGACCACAACTGAGCCCCCGATTTCCATTGCTAAGCAAAGCAGTTAAGTGAGTTTTGCACCATTTTATGACCTTTCCCGAAACAATGGTTAGGAGAAACACTGCTAAGTTACTAATGTAGTCATTAAGTGAATCTGGCTTCCCCACTGACATTGCTTGTCAGATGGTCACAAAAAGGCCCAGGACGCTGCAACTGTCATAAATATGAACCAGTTGCCAGCATCTGAATTTTGATCGTGTGACCTCAGGGGTGGTGCATCGGTCATAAGTGTGAAAAGTGCTCATAAGTCACTTTTTCAGTGCCCTTGTGACTTTGAATAGTCAGTAAATGAATGGTTATAATTTGAGGATGACCTGTATATAGAAAAGAAAAAAAATGGTGAGAATCCTGTTTTTTAAACTCTGTTTTTTTAAGCATCTGTAGGGTTGGTACCCGCAAAAGACATGTGTGTGTGCCACGGATCATATGGCTGTGGCCGCCATGTTAGTAGCTAAAGCAACCAAGGCTTATTAAAGTCGTTTTAAATCCCAGCTGTTGTGATTTTCAGCAGGAAAACCAGTTGCGCTTGAGGGGAGAAAAGGCCAAAAGCTGCGAACTCTGGAGCCGGACTTCAGAAATTTCTATCCCTGAAGAAAGAAGTGTACAAGCCTCCAAGGAAAGAGAGGTAAATACTACTCCCCAATCTACAGCCAAGAAAAGTGTTGCCAGTGTGATATATTGATAAAGTTCAGGTATAGTTGAAGGTGTAGCAGAAAGCGGGGCGGAGTGAAGAGAGGATCCAGCCTAGAATCTCTACATAGCCACAAGGGCACCAAGCCCAACGCCCCTTGAATGCCATTAAACTACTAGCAGTCAGTTGAGAAGATTCCTGTGTACAAGCTTAAATCAATTTAATTGGACCTTCCACATGGGAACCTGAACTCTCATCCTCCCATATGGGAATTATCTGGGGGACCAGCGGCTCAATCTCTTTCAGCCCACCTTATCTACCTGTACATCCTCAACTCACAACAGTTCATTTAGGGACCGTTTGAAGTTACAACATCACCCCCAAAAACTGATTTGTGACCATTTTTCACATTTACACCCCCCTGGTCATACGATCAAAATGCAGATGCTTGGCAGCTGGATCATATTTATGACAGTTGCAGTGTAATCCAGAGTTACGTGACTACCTTCGGACAAGCAAAGTCAGGCCAGATTCATTTAACAGCCGTGTTACTAACTTAACAATTGCAGTTATTCACTCAACCACTGTGGCAAGAAAGCGCGTCAAAGGTGGTAAAATTTACTTAATGACTGTCTGGCTCAGCAACAGAGATGTTGGGCTCAATTGTGGTCATAAGGCAAGGACTACCTCAATATAGGCAGGATTGAGCCTTGAGATTCCAGTGACGTGCTGGGGTCTAAATAAAGTTAATAAATGAGGATAATGACGACAACCTCAACAGTAGGTCATGGGGATATTGCCTATTGTGGCTATGGAACCAAGTGAGTTTGAAGTGAGTGATTTGAAAAGGAATTCTTGGAAGTCCTCGACTTACAGCCATTTGTTTAGTAACCACTTGACGTTAAAATGGTCTGGAAAAAATGTGGCTTATGACCAGTCCTCGAAAGTATGTCCATTGCAACATCCCCATGAATACGTGATCAAAATTCAGATGTTTGGCAACTGATGTGTACTTACAGCATCCTCGGGTCATGGGATCCCCATTTGCAACCTTCCTCAGCTGGCTTCTCCCAAGCAAAGCCAAGGGAAGTAAGTGTAAGCCGGATTTGCTCCACAACCGTATGATTCACTTAACTGCTGTGATTTGCTTAACAACCATGGCAAAAAAGATCATAACAATCAGGCACAAATCACCGAACAACCTCTTCGCTTAGCGGCATAAGCTCTTTTCACAGTTATGATCGTAAGTGGAGGACTATCTGTACAGTAACCCAGGGGTGGGCTTCAAAAAATGTTAGCAAAGGGCCCGGTTGCTGGGTGGGCGTAGCCATGGTGGGTGTAGCCCAGTGATGGGATTTAAAAATTTTTTAGTACCGGTTCTGTGGGCGTGGCTTGGTGGCCGTGGCAGGGAAAGGATATACTGCAAAATTCCCCCTTCCCTCCCCACCCCGCTAACCTGCTTTCCAGCTCTGTTCTCCTGTGCAGGGCAACAAAAGGAGACCCAGCCGATCAGCTGGGACTCAATGGGAGGCAGAGAAGAGAAGAAGGGTTGGTGGGGCCAGTCAGAGGTGGGATTGGCCGGTTCTCCGAACTACTCAAAATTACCACCTCTGGCATGGCCTAGTTAGCCTCCTGCACCCTGGCAAGAGAGGGCATTTTTGACCTCCCTGGGCTCCGAAGGCTTTCCTCAAGCTCCCAGGAGGGGGGAAGCAACCTCCCTGGGCTCCGGAGGCTCTCTGGAAGCCAGAAACGGGCCCATTTCTGGCCTTCCCGTTTTTCACCCTCCCAGAGCCTCCGCATGCGCCCTGCCCTTCACCTGCGTCCAAAATGGGCCGTGTGGGGACTCCTGGGAGGGGGGGAAAAGGGGTGGGCGGGGCCAACCAGAAGTTGGATTTGGGGGTTCTCCAAACTGCACAGAATCTTAGCTAAGGGCTCTCCCAAACCCCTGCGAACCCCCCAGCAGCCCAGCCCTGCAGTAACCAGTCAACGTCCCCATAGTTAAGGGGGATTGTTTCAGTATCTCGAGAGGAATTTACAGGTCGTCCTCAACAGATGACCAGAACTGAGCTCAAAGTTTCTGTTACTAAGTGAGACAGTGGTTAAGTGAATTTTTCCCCATTTTATGACTCTTCTTGCTACAGTTGCTAATTGAATCATGCCGTTCTCAAGTTAGTCACACGGTCGTTAAGTGAGTCCGGCTTCCCCATTGTCTTTGTTTGTCAGATGGTCACAAATGGGGATCACATGACTCTGGGCTGCTGAAACCGTCATAAATATGAGTCACTTGTCAAGGAGCCAAATTTTGATCGCATGGGATGCTGCAATAGTTGTATGTGTGAAAAAACAATCGTAAGTCCCTTTTTTTCAGTGTCCCTCTAACTTTGAACGGTCACTAAATGAACTGCTGTAAATCAAGGACTACCTGTATTGACTAAGGTTGGGCAGAGATCAAAATCTGCCTAACGCATCCATGGGTGTGTTCAGTCATCTGGCAATGGCCTCTGAGAAAAGAAGACATCTGGTTGGGTTTAAAGCAGAGGTCCCCAAACTTGGCAACTTTAAGACTTTAAGAATTCTGGGAGTTGAAGTCCACAAGTCTTAAAGTTACCAAGTTTGGAGACCTCTGCTCTAGACTAAGTCATACCCAAATCCCACAACCGTTCTTTGTATATTTTAGTCTCCAGGCCTTTAATCGTCATAGTTGCTCTTCTGCACTTTCCCCCAAAGTCTTAACATCTCATTGTTCGCTTCTCATCCAAGAAGCTTTTTCAGTTTGGGGCAACCATGCCCTGGATGACTGAGAAACTCCATAGACCTAAAGTTCTTTAAATTCATGTCCAGAACAGTTGAACCTCCGCCAGAATCACTCTCTGCATGTGCTGAAGAGGCACAAGTCATTCAGCGCAAATCCTTTAAAACACACACGAGTTGAAGTCCACAAGGCTTAAAGTTGCCAAGTTTGGAGACCTCTGATTTAAAGGGTTATATTCTGCAAATTACTTTTGCCATTTGAGTCCAGATCATTGCAGAATCCCCACGCTACCATTCCATGTTTTAAAAAATGGTGGCGCCTTCTCTAGGCCCTTAATCTAGGAATGCCAAGGGTCATCTGATCCAAGAGAAACATCTGGCCTGTCTTTTTGGTTTTGCAGAATGCCGGCTCAACCAGTTGTTCAGAAGGCAGCACTGTGGATCTGACAGACCCTGATGAATTCCTGAAGAACATCTCTGAGCTAGATGATGTTTTCAAGCAGCCAGACAATTGCTTCCCAGAAAGTAAGGAGCCCCTTGACAGATTTATATCGTTTTATAGTCATAAACACGGGTGGATTGCTAGAGCTAACCATTGCTAAGCAAGGCAAGGCAAATTTTGGGGTCAGTTCTGGTTGTAAGTCAAGGATCAGCTGTACCCCTATGAATTTTATAAATTTTTCCTCCCACATCGATTTAAGCTGCAGTTGCTTTTGAACACTTCTTCATCCAGAAATGATGGTTTTCATCACCCCAAATTATCTGGCCAACTAGATTAGTTGTGTTTTCTCGAAGAGGTTCACCAAGCATCTTGAAAGACAGGATGCAGAGCTAAAAAAAATACTATTAACCTGTTCATGAGAATTGTCTTTGTGAAGTAATTTTACATTGTGACTTCAATGTCTCTTTCAGGATGTGTTCACCATTATCCTTGGTGTTCTGTGAATACTTCTAAGTTTCCAGGGAAAACATGGTGGAATTTAAGAAAGACGTGTTACCAAATTGTGGAACACAACTGGTTTGAAAGCTTCATTGTGTTCATGATTCTGTTAAGTAGTGGAGCGTTGGTATGTTAACTCTCTTTTTCTTTAACGTTATCTGAATCAGGAGAAAGGAACTTGTCCTTTCCAATAAGGAACAATGTAGACCAAGGGTCTTCAAACTTGGCAAGTTTAAGACTTGTGAACTTCAACTCCCAGAATTCCTAAGCTAATATGACTGGAGGAGGAATTCTGGGAGTTGAAGTCCACAAGTCTTAAAGCTGTCCAAGTTTGAAGACTCCTGATGTAGAACATAGTTTCCCAACCTTGAGAGCTTTAAGATGTGTGGACTTCAACTCCCACAATTCTCCAGCCAGCATGCTAGCTGGGAAATTCTGGGAGTTGAGGTCCATCATCCTGAAGATGCTGAAAATGAGAAACACTGATGTAGACTGGTAGTCCCCAACCTACAGCCATTTGTGAAGTAATCATTCAAAATTATAAAGTTACTGGAAAAGGTGACTTATGACTGTTTTTCACACTTTTGACCATTGCAATGTCCCCATGGTCACGTGCTCAAAATTCAGGAGCTTAGCAACTGACTCATATTTCTGACAGTTGCAACATCCCAAAGTCAAGTGATCCCCTTTTGTGACCCTTTGACAAGCAAAGTCAATGGGGAAGCCAGATTCTCTTAACAGCCATGTTACTCACTTTACAACTGCAGAGATTCACTTAACAACTGTGGCAAGAAAGGTCATAAAATGGGACAAAACTCACTTAATGGTCTTATTTAGCAACACAAATTTTGGGCTCACTTGTGGTCATAATTTGAGGACTACCTGTAAACAAAAGGAGGGCAGTTTTGTTAAAAATCTGATCCCTCACCGCTCTACTTTTTAGGAATAACACAAAGGTCTGGATCTCACTCTACCGATTCTATGATTCTTTTGAAACAAAGCTCATTGTTTTGAAGATCTGGTTGAAAGTCTAATCAAAGTTTTCATGGGAAACCATTTATATAGCAATAGCACTTAGACTTATACACCACTTTATAGTGCTTTCCAGCCCTCTCTAAGCGGTTTACAGAGTCAGCCTATTGCCTCCAACAATCTGGCTCCTCATTTTACCCACCTCGGAAGGATGGAAGGCTGAGTCAAACTTGAGCCTGGTGAGATTCGAATTGCCAAATTGTAGGCAGCTGGCAGGCAGCAGAAGTAGCTTGCAGTACTGCACTCTAACCACTGAGCCACAGAGACTCCTCTGCTTATATCTGCTTCCTTCATAGTCTGCTTTTAAATTTGATTAGTTTTTAAGTTTTTGTGTTTTTATTACTTTGAAGGCACCAACCTATCAAAATGAACTTTTTCACCCATTTCATCAGTGCTCAGGATTTGCTTCAGTACCTTATTAATATCAATGGTGGGGAAATGAATGACAGCTGCCACTGAAAACTGAACCTGTCTTGGATCATTCTTCATGGTTCCGAAAACCATGTCTACAATGTGAATCGTGTGTCCAAAACAACCATGGCAGATTGTTCCATCTTTACACAGCAGAATAGAATCTGCAATCATAGAAAGATAATTTGAAAACAGCACAGATAGTCCTTGAATTATGACCATTCATTTAACAACAATGTGGGTCCTTGGCAATTGCCTTATATTTATAACAGTTGCAGCATCCAAGATCCATGGGATTGCAGTTTTTGATTTTCCCAGCTGACAAGGGGGAAGTGCCTGATTCACTTAAAGATTGCACAATACACTTAGCAATTGCATGATTTCTTTAACAACCGCATCATTTAGACACTGATATTCCATCACAAATGTGGTCATAAGTTGAGGACTACCTGTACTGGGGAGCAATGTAGACTTAGGGGATGTTACAGGCATCCATAATTCTAGACTAACTAAGCTGTCAGTCAAATTTGATTGGTTTTGTGACATCATCACATGTATTACAAGATCCTTAATTGGCTGAGAACATTGAGAGATAGAATGGAAAAGGAAAGTGGGTTAAAATAGTAGCTAAAGCAACAAAAAAGAGAAAGAATTGTTGTGATCAAAGTAAAGCATAATAAAAGGGGTGTATATTAAAAAAAAAGTTAGAAGTTTCACAGACTCCATTTTCTCACCCTCAATTTTCATGGATTTTCTATTTATATTTGCGATACCTTCCTTGCGTTATGTCTAATGTTCCAGTATATGTGTGTGGGTGTGTCTGTGGATGTGTGTGTGTGAGTGAGAGAGAGGGAGGAGATAGAAAGGGAAAGGGAGAGGGAGAGAAGGAGGGAGAGGGAGAGGAAAAGGAAGAGGTTGAGAGGCAGGGAGAGAAGGAGGGAGAGAAAAATAGTAAAAAATAAGAAAAATAGTACGTTTAATAATAAATTTAATAACGTTCTGCAAATATAACACTCATATGTTCATTCTGATCTCAGGCATTTGAAGACATTTACTTGAGCGAAAGGAGGAATATTAAAATCATGCTGGATTATGCTGACAAAATCTTCACCTACATATTTGTCTTAGAGATGTTGCTGAAATGGGTGGCTTACGGATTCCACAAATACTTCACCAATGCCTGGTGCTGGCTGGATTTCCTGATTGTAGACGTGAGTCTTGCAGCTGAATTGGAACGGATCTCATTGATTTCCGAGGGAGCATGAAGTGGATTGTCAAAATCTTGGGACAATGGAGCCAACTCACTGAAGATTTCAGTTTAGATGGGGCACACGCTAAAGCGAAGCATATTCCTATTCATATTCAGAGGAGGAAGGAAGAGGGTGGAAGGGGAGGAGAAGGAGGAAGAGGGAGGGGGAGGAGGGGGAGTAGAAGGAGGAGGAGGGAGGGGGAGGAGGGGGAGGAGAAAGAGAAGGATCGTTTTTTACAAGTTTTGGGCTGCTTAAATTTGGAGAACGGGAACTGGCTGAGAGCTATTGAAATGTGTAAAGATGTACTGTGCAAAATGAAGCCTGACATGAAGAAAGGAGAAGCAGCGCCATCTGGTGGGTCCCAGAAGGCAAATCTGCTCCACCTCATCCCTGGAAGGATCTGGCATGACAAAACAATGGGCCCCAAACCTCCTCCTGACCTTCGGAAGCCCTCTAAAAATCTGGTTCTCTTCTTGGCCTTGCGGCCCAAGATGATTGAGATTCCCACCAGGAGAAGGGCAGTGGTGGGATTCGATTTTTTTTTTTTTACTACCGGGCATGGTGGGTGTGTTGTGTTGTGGTGGGCGTGGCTTGGTGGGCGTGGCAGGGGAAGAATACTGCCAAACTCCGCTTCCCTCCCCACCCCACTAACCTGCTTTCCAGCTCCACTCTCCTGTGCAGGGCAACCAAAGGAGACCCAGCCAATCAGCTGGGACTCGGGAGGCGGAGAATAGATGGGGGCGGAGCCAATCAGAGGTGGTATTGGCCGGTTCTCCAAACGACTCAAAATTTCCGCTACCGGTTCTCCAGAACTGGTCAGAACCTGCTGAATACCCACCTCTGGAGAAGAGTAATAGAAGTGGGAATTCAGATCGCCTGTTAATTACGGACACTTGGCTGAATTCTCCACTGAAACCACCCAAACGAAGCTTGAGAGTAGGATATCTTTTATCTAATTTTGTCATCTAGGCAGTTGAATGAAAACGCGTAATAGAATACAAATGCTCCTCGACTTACAATCATTTTGTTTAGTGACCGTTCCAAGTTACAACAGCACTGAAAAAAGTTACAACTGGTCTTGACACTTAGAGCTGTCGTAGTGTTCCCACGGTCACATGATCCTTGGCAACCAGTACGTAGTCATGCATTTGCAATGTCCTGGGGATCAGGCGATCACCCTTTGTGACTTTTCCAGCCAGCTTTTGACAAGTATGAGGAAAGCTGGATTCGCTTAACGGCCACATAACCACTGGTTATGGGTTTGCTTAACAATCACGGCTAAAAAGTTCATAAAATGGGATAAGGCTCATTTAACGATCACCTTGCTTAGCAACAGAAACACCTTTTCAGTTATGGGCGAAAGTCAACATCTATCAGTACAGCAGAATACTCCCAAGTCTGAATATTCATGCTAAATTACTAATGCAAGATTGGAGAAATGCTAGATAATGTCTCATTGGTCCATTCTCCAGATCCTGAGAAATCGTATCACACTGTACCCTTTCAAGATGCCCCCTTTTAATAGTAGTTACACAGAAGAATATCAGTTGGCATATCCTTAACATAGAGGCAGACAAAATGCATGGTAAATTAAAAGCAGGCAGTTAACGCCTTTCCATTCACCTTCCTACTTTCTCTTTTAGATCTCCCTGATAACTCTGATAGCACCTTTGCTTGGAAAATTGGAGATGGGCCCCATGAAATCTCTCCGTACACTGCGAGCTTTGCGACCGCTAAGAGCCCTGTCTCGATTTGAAGGGATGAGGGTAAGAAGAGTGAAAAGCACTGCTTAAGCTTCAGAATTATAGCTACAAATGGGAGATGACCAGAGCAGAGATTTCCCTAAAGAGATTTCCCTAAATTAATCTTATAAATGCAGTATACATTGAATAGAATAGAAATGAATAGAGCTTTGATCATACCCTTTTAAAGAAGAGATTGGACAACCACTTGTCTAAAATCTTTCCTAGTTGAGCAGGGGGTTGGACTAGCAGACCTTCAAGGTCCCTTCCAACTCTGTTATTCTGTTCTGTTCCTCTGTTATTCTTTCTATGATCATGTGTATCCGTCCCATTAAGCCCCCCAAAGTGTCTCAAATAGTATAGGATCGCCTGCCAAGGGCAGGAGGGTTCGATTAGAAGACCTCCAAGGATCCACCCAACTCTAGTATTCTGTAATTTGTTTTTTATGCCCTAAGACCCCTTGCATTAATAGCTTTTGGGTACATGGCAGATTTTTTTTTTTTAGTGTATAGCATCTAACAGAGATCATGCACCACTGACATACAACACTAATAAAACACATTATGCATACAAACACAAGTATAAGTTTAAGTAGAGTACTGGGCAGTGGTTAGAGTGCAGTACTGCAGGCTACTTCTGCTGACTGCTGGCTGCAATTCAGCAGTTCAGGTCTCACCAGGCTCGAGGTTGACTCACCCTTCCGTCCTTCCGAGGTGGATAAAATGAGGACCCAGATTGTTGGGGACAAGAGGCTGACTCTGTAAATCGCTTAGAGAAGGCTTTAAAAGCACTGGGAAGCGGTATATAAGTCTAAGTGCTATTGCTCTCAGCAAATACACTGTATGTCTAGCAGACGATTGACATAAGAGCTGAGGAATATATGTAGAGGGAATAAGGAACAGCAAGATAATAAACATAAGAAAACATGTCAGAAAAATCCCCTAATTTGCACAGAGATAAGGGGAGGAAGAGTTTAGCTGGTCCTAGCTGGACTTTTTTTGTTCTCCTTAAAAATGTTGGACTAGAAGACCTCCAAGGTCCCTTCCAGTTCCATTGTTGTGTTGTGTTGTGTTGTGTTCTGATGTTTTGCTTCTCATCCAAGAAACTTTTCCAGTTCTGAAGAACTGAAGAAGCTTCTTCAATGAGCAGAGAAATGTCTTCAAGGAAAAACAAAGAAAATCCAGTTGCCTTTAGAAAAAAACATTTTTGGGACAAATGTGACCTTGGATGACTGAGAATCTTCACAGACAAGAGGTTTGCTTGTTCAGACTTGTAAGGTTACAACAAAAGTGCATGATAATGGTTTCTTAGTCTGGTCCACCTTCTCAGGCTTTTTAGAAGAAATGGAGTATGGTGCAATGGGGCTTGCAAGAAAGAAATCTTCAGTATTCAATCCATTTTTTCCCAATATCTTTAAATATTTTGAATATTTATCATGACAGAAGACAGTGAATGTGAGACTGATTAAAACCATGAATTGAAATGGCATCAGATAATCTCCACAGAGATCAGAAACAGAACCTTAGAGTGGTTTTCTTGATCTATTCTAGTTTGCTATTGCTTTTTATATTGCTCCTATTTTCCAAGGAGATGTTTTGTTTTTTTTACTACTTACGTATTTAATAGTTTGATTCCAAATTGCCAAAAGGATAAGCCTCTGATATACCCCAAAATACAGTAGTCTCTGTGGAACGCCCCTAAGAAATTGCCATGGCATTAACCAAAATGATAATGCTTGTTGCAGGTGAATTTTCTAATTTTCTACTATATTTTGCTGAATTGGATACTAATCCTGCTCATATATTATAGTTTACTTACAAATAGCGATAAGCAGTAATGCTGAATATGCATACTAAATCCATAAATGAACTTAGAAAGACGTTGAAATCATATTTTTTTTATTTATTTTGATTTGTCAGTCGCTTACAAGATAATAGGTATAAGTATATACATAGTTATGAATACATGAAATGGGTACATCTAAGAAAAATAATCACTTCCTGCTGACTTTCCCATCGACAGGAAGAAACCCACGCAGTTGTTAAATGCAATGTCACGTGACCATAGCTTGCAACATCCTGCTGGCTTCCCCATTGACAGGATTTTATTTGTTGGAAGCCGGCAGCAAAGATTGGAAATAACGGTGACCACTGTGACCACGGTATTTGTGCACTGGTTACCAAACCCTTCAATCACAATCATAGGGACACTGTGAGAACTGCGACTTCCAGATCCGGCCATGAATCCCGTCGTTCAGCACCATCATAACATTGAACAAGGGGGCCATTAAATGAGGAGTACCCATATATTTTTCTCTTACGTTAAATAGCTTTTCAGTAAATTGCACCATGCGTGTAAAAGGCGAGATCTTATTTCACCAGGGTTTGTTCAATGAATAATTTAAATAAACAAACCACAGAGAAATTGTAAAGCTCACCACGATACCTTAAATCTATTTTATACTTAATTGGAAGACCTTGGCCTCAGCGGGTCACCCTGGTTTGATGGATACGAGATGATGTCCGTGTATATAATAACTGAGCTGAAGCAATTTAGCCTGAACAGAGTAGAGAATCAAAGGTGCTGGAATAAATGGTGTTGCGCATGGAAACTAAAGGCTGCAATCCTTAAAGTAATTATTTTAAAGTAGTCCAGACAATGAGGCTGCTGCAGAGATGATCCCCCCGCCCTGTAATATTTGAGTATAGAAAAATTAATGTACCATTTCTGTCAAAGCACTGAAATTAGGAATGCTGCTGAAGTTTAAATACTCTGAAGTGTGTATGAACCTCTCTTTCAATTTGAGGCAATTCTCCAGCGCTATGGGAGATCCCCCCCCCCCCATTCATGGTTTAGTCCAGTGCTTTTCAGAATTGGTAACATTAAGATGTGGGGACCTTCGTTGATGCTGGCTGGAGAATTCTGGGAGTTGAAGTTCTCATATTCATCCTTCTTTTCCTTCCTTCCCGCCCTTCCCCCTCCCTTCTCTTCCCTCCCCTCTCCTCTCCCCTCTTTCCCCTTCCTCCCTCCCTCCCCCCTTCCTATCTCTTCCCCTCCCTCCCCTCTCCCCTCTTTCCCCTCCTCCCTCCCTTCCCTCTCTCCTATCCCTTCCCTTCCTCCCTCCCCTCCCCCTTCCTACCTCTTCCCCTCCCTCGCCTCCCTCCCCTCTCTCCTCTTTCCCCCTCCTCCCTCCCTTCTCTCTCTCCTACTCCCTTCCCTTCCTCCTCCCTCCCTCCCTCCCTTCCCTTTCCCTCCCTCCTTCTCCCTTCCCTTTCCCTCTCCCCTCCCCTCCTCCCTCCCCTCCCCTTCTCCCTCCTTCTGTCTCCCTCCCTCCCTCCCTCCCTTCTTTGCCCTTGCATTGCAGGTGGTGGTCAATGCCTTACTTGGAGCCATTCCTTCCATTATGAACGTGCTCCTTGTCTGTCTGATTTTTTGGCTCATCTTTAGCATTGTCGGAGTCAGCCTCTTTGCTGGAAAATTTGGAAAATGCATTAACCGGACCGAAACAAATAGCGTTATCAACGAAAGTGTCATTGTTTACAAGTCAGATTGCGAAAACAGCACGGAACAACTGTATTGGACCACCGTTAAAGTGAATTTTGATAATGTTGGCCTAGGCTATTTGGCTCTTCTTCAAGTGGTAGGTTTGAGAATTCGTGTGATCTTTCTTTCTTTCATCCACACACATACAACTACCCCGTCCTACCTGATCTCTTGCAGATTTACCCTCCTGTTTCAGCCTTAATTTAGTTACATGCTTGTTTAACTTGTACTCGGCTTTTCATTGTTCATGCAAGTTTTAGAAGTAGATCAGCTGATCAACCAATAGTCCCAAACATGTTTTTTTTTTCTTCATGCACTAATATTCTTTGTGGTGAATGCATCAAACTTGAATCCTGCAGAAAAATAGCCTTCAAGTTTAATATTATTTAAAAAAAACTATATACAATCTGTCCTTGCACTTAATGACTGTCATTAGCATCCAGGATAATGTGATCAAAATTCTGGCAGTTGAAGTCCACAAATCTTAAACTTGCCAAGCCTGGACCTCCAGGCATAAGCTAAAAGCTCAGCATCTTCTAGACTTTTGGCTGGTCTCAGAAGCTAAGTAGGCTTAGTTTGGGTTAGTACTTAGTTGAGGCTCTACCTGGGAATCTCAACAAGATAGATTTGCCTGGGAAATTAAAAAATAATGTTAGAAGGTAACAATAAACTGATTAGCTTCTCAAGAAAAGTCTATGGATAAAAATCTCTAGAAGACAAATATAACTTGCGGACATTCTTATATTTTTCAAATTCAGAAGCCACAGGTGTCTATTTTTAGCCAATACTTTTTTAAAATTCAAAATGTTAAAAATATGTATGTATATGTATGTAAGTATTTATGTATATGTTTTTGTGCATTTATTTTCTTTGTGTGTGTGTTTGCTAGTCTCGCTTTGTTTTTATATTTTTTTCACTTTTGGAGCTTGTATTTTAATGTTTTGAATAAAAAATAAAAAGTTGATTGGTTGAAATTAGAAAAAAAAAGAAGCCACAGATGTGTTTATCTCCAAAATGTTCTGAATAGAGACTAATTCAAACCCTTCAGCTCTTTATCATTTGCCTATTGTCCAACAGCTTCTTTATATGGCAGCAATTATTTCATCAATTTTTCTTATTTTCTTTTAGGCAACTTTTAAAGGTTGGATGGATATAATGTATGCAGCAGTTGATTCAACAGAAGTAAGTCTTAGACAAATTTATTTTCTATTTCTTGTGTTCATTCTAACCAACAGTGCCCTTCTCTGTCCAGTTGGAATGCAATATAAAGGCATCTTTCAAGAGCTATTTTGGTCTAGTGCAGTGGTGGTATTCAATTTCTTTTACTACTGGTTCTGTGGGCATGGCTTGGTGGGCTTGGTGGGTGTGGCTTGATGGGCGTGGTTTGACGGGCGTGGCACGGGAAGGATACTGCAAAATCCCCATTCCCTCCCCACACCACTAACCTGCTTTCCAGCTCTGTTCTCTTGTGCTGGGCAACCAAAGAAGACCCAGCCGATCAGCTGGGACAAATGAGATGCAGAGAATAGATGGGGGTGGGACCCAGTCAGAGGTGGGATTTGCTGGTTCTCCGAACTACTCAAAATTTCCACTAGTGGTTCTCCAGAACCTTTCAGAAGTGGCTGAATACCACTTCTGGTCTAGTCGTTAAGTCACAAGCTAGAAACCAGGAGATGGTGATTTCTAGTCCCACCCTAAGCATGAAAGTTGGCTGGGTGACTTTGGGCCAATCACCAAGAGGCTGGGAGTTCCAGTCCTTCCTGGCATGGAAGCTGCTATTTGGGCCAATCACCAGGAGATGGTGAATTCTAGTCCCATCATAGGCATGACTTCTTTGGGCCAGCCATTCTTCTTAGCCCAAATAAGGAAGAGAAAATAGCATCTTTGTCAGCTTTTTTATAAAAAATAATAAAGATGAGATATTAAAAAGTAAATTAAATGAATAAAAATATCTGTTCACATCCACCATTAATGTCAGATGAAATATGAGGCTGCTCCTTGGCTCTGTGGAGGATGGTGACATCCAGATGCTTTCTACAACTATCTTCACACTATATATGCCTAACTTATTGAGAAAGAAAATACGTACGTAGTTTAGGGAAACCATTCTAAACCTGTGCAATTAACATTTGAAGGAACTCTTCTCACACTGCAAAAATATGTGACTAATATGCAGACTAAAATAAGGAGTGGGAGTTTGTGCTACGTTCTTATGGGAATCCAGTCAGGGGTGGGATTCTGCCAGTTCAGACCAGTTCTATAGAACCGGTTGTTACGATTCTGTGAAGTTCAGAGAACTGGAAAATTGTGTCCCTGGCTGGCCCCTCCCCTCTCCATCTGCCCCTCCCCTCCTTGCCCAGTCAGTCCTTATCACGCATGCGCCACATCGCATGTATGCCCGACATCGCTGGCTGTATTCTCCCCCGCCCAGTCACTCGTTAAGGTTTTTCTTTTTTTCTTTTTTTCCCAATGATCAGCTGTTCTGACAATCAGCTGTGCCGGGATCTCCCTCGCTGTCTTACTGCTTCACCCGGGAGGCTTCCCTGAGGCCCAGGAGGCAAAAAGGGGCGCATGGAGGGGGTGTACTCCGTGCCCCCCTGCTCCATTTTTTTGCCTTTTTGGGCCTCAGGGAAGCTTCCTGGGTGCAAAAATGCCCACCCCTGAGGCCCAGGAGACCCAAAAACAGAGTGCAGGGGAAGGGTTGATGCAAAAAAAGGCACGCTGTTAAAAAATTTGAATCCCACTCCTGAATCCAGTTAGTCTGTTTTCCCTCAACTTCATCCCAATACGAATATTGCCATATAGACCAATCCCCAATTGCCATTTGGACCAAACAGGAAATCTGGCTGTATAAGGTAGTTCTGGTGTATAATAAAGCCACCTTAACAGTCCAGTAGCTCAGGGAAGTCCATCTTGAGTTTCTTGCTCCATCCAATGGTGGTATTCTACTGGTTCAGCTTGGTTCTGCCAAGCCAGTAGCAGAGATGAGCAGCGGAGACCGAACCGATTCTCTCTGCCACTCTGCTGTTAGGCCTACCTGCCCGCCCAGGTGCCCATACTCACCTTTATCCTCTGAATTTGAAGTGCAGCTGCTTTGTGCGGGAGAGCAGAGTGCTGTGCGACAGCTGCTGAAGCAACCAGGAGAGTGCAGGCTTGCAGGTGGTGAATTAGAACGCCTCTGCGCCTGCTCAAAGTGTGTGTTTGGTGCACGCATGTACCCACCAAGCCACGCCCACCGAACCAGTGGCAACAATATTTGGATCCCACCACTGGCTCCATCCAATAGGCAGCTGTGGGCTATGTTCTCTGTTACCTGACCATTTTCTAGGTATCTTCTCTTAGCCCGGTCTCTCAAGGTCATTTCCACATCTCATTACAGTTACTGGCAGTGTAGCTGGTCAAAGGTTGGATTTCCTCAGCTCCTATATAAGGATGCAGGGTTCCTCTGTCCGGTTGTGTCTGACTCTAGGTGCTAATGCTCAGTGGTGGGATTCAAAATTTTTAACAACCAGTTCTGTGCGTGTGGCTTAGGTGGTGGGCATGGCTTAGGTGGTGGGCGTGGCTTGGTGGTCATGTGATTGGGTGGTCATGGCTTGGTGGTCATGTTATTGGCTGGGTGTGGTCAACTCAATATCATTCACATCGAGGCATGCATCTCCTTGCCTGCCCTCTCATGACTGTGAGGATGCTGCAACAGTCGTAAGTGTAAAAATGGTCATAAGTCACTTTTTTCAGTGCCATTGTAACTTTGAATGGTCACTCCACACAAGCAAAGTACCAGCAAAGGGGAAAAAAAAAAACTCCAGAGACGTTCCTGAGATAGGAAGTCTAGTCCTGCCAAGAATGTAATAAGGGTTAACGGAGAGGCAGTTTCTGTAAGCAACACCAGAATGTTTCCTTCCTGCCTTCCTTACAGGATTAGCCCAGTAATGTCTTCTAACAACTGGTTCTACGAACTGCTTAGAATGTTAACAACCGGTTCTGGCAAATAGGTGCAAACTGGTAGAATCCCACCCCTGCTGATGCTCCTCTCCATTTCCTAGCTGAGGGAGCCAGAGTTGTCCGAAATTGCTTTTGTGGTCATGTGGCCATTGTGACTATGTGCCAAGCGATGCATAGAACATTGTCGCCTTCCCACCAAAGTGATACCTATTTTCTTTGCACTTGCATCTATAGTGCTAGGTGGGCAGGAGCGAATAACAGGAGCTCACCCTTCGTGCAGTGCTCAAACCTCAAACCTGGGCTGTCAGCTTTCCAGCTGCCAAGCTCAGTGTCTTTAATCACTGACCCATCGCACCTCTGTCCCTCAGTTCTTAGTAGGTGCCTTATTCAGCTGCAAGAACCCCACTCCCATCTTTCACTTCCCATCTTCACTATTTTGACTTTTGCTGTAATATCTGGCATATGCAGTTTATTTCTTGGGTTCTTTTTTTTGGGGGGGGAGGGGGTAATGTAGGGGGATCTGGGAATGTTATAGGAGGCAAAATGCAAGCCTTCCAGGACATGTGCAAAACAAGTGATCCCTTCTACTTGAGATTCAGCTGGGATTGTTGTAAGCTGGGATAAAATGGGATCGTATTATATTGTGTTTGGACATCTAAATTCTTCTTGTTGTTGAGTTCTGTGCTTGAGGCACAGAATTTGTAAGAAACACAAGTACAGAAGCTCCAGAACGAGGAATGTAATTGGATGGGAAACTGAAGGAAGGAAAGATTCTGCTGGTGTGTGTGTGTGTGTGTGTGTGTGTGTTTCTCTTCCAAAATGTGGAATTGGATCCCAGAACATCTCCTACTTCACTTTTTGTCTTACTAACCAAGCGGAGAGTGATGTGGGAATCCAAGATAAACAAAGTGCTCCTAAAGCCAGACTGCTCCTTTGTTTATTTCTACTCCATCTTTATTATTTTTACAAATAACTCAAGGATGCAAACATGTCCAAAATACCTTCCTCCTCCTATTTTCCCCACAACAACAATCCTATGAGGTTGGTTGGGCTGAGAGAGGGGAACTGGCCCAAAGTCACCCAGCTGGTTTTTCATGCCTAAGGCAGAATTAGAACTCAGCATTTTCTGGTCATTGGCCGAAAGTCACGAGGAGGGCTTCCGTGCCTAAAGAGGGACTAGAACTCTCCCTCTCCTGGTGATTGGTCCAAAGTCACACAGCTGGATTTCATGTCTAAGTTGGAACTAGAACTCCCAGTCTCCTGGTGTCTGGCTCAAAGTCTCGCAAGCATTTTCATGCCTAAGGCAGAACTAGAACTCAACAAAGTAATGTCACCTTTGAGTTGATCTCCATTCTTGGTCACATGGACATATCTGTGTCTTTTATTTGGTGAAATATCGGAATGATTTGCTATTGCTTTATTTTGGGTTGTTTTCCCAACTCTTCAAACCCCACACTAGCTCACATTACATAGATGTGTATACAATGTTCAGGTTGTTGTAATAAAAGAGCCAATTGAGAGAAGCTTAATGGAAAAGCTGAAGGCTTCAGATAAGCCAAAGTAGAAATTCAAGTTATTACGTAGGGCTTGCTAATTTTTTAAAATTAGTTTGACATTGCTAGCCTTCCTTGCAGTAATTGAATAATTACACAGTAATTACCCACTTGCAGATTCTTCCACTTCAAACTGAGACTGAATTACTGTCTCACCATAATTTCGGGAGCTTGAATTTTGAATAAAATTTGCGAGTTGAAAAAGATGCTATTGAAAGAAGACATTGTTGTTGTCTGTCCTAATGGAAAATATAAAGCACCTCTCTATTTTTTGAAGTGAAGCATCCTGGATTTAATATAACTTATTCTTCTATTCTGCAGAAACAAGAGAACTAACCAGACTCATTGTGTCTGGTTTCCTGGAATAATGGAAAGAGGGCACAGGCAGTCCTCAGTTTATGGCTGTGAAATTGAATTTGCAATTTGCAATCAAAAGTTGGGCCAGTTATTAAATGGATCATCATGTGACTGACCCAACTCGACAACATTTTAAGCAAATTAGTGGTCATTAAACACCAGGCTTGTTAAGTGAACCTATTGTCCCCAGTGGGAAGATTTTTGCCATAAATTGGAAGTAAGCACCAGTTTCCCACCAAAACAAAACAAAACACAGTAAATGGTGTTTATATGACTGCAGAATATTTGAGGGGCTGCCACAGGGAGGAAGGGGTCAAGCTATTTTCCAAGGCACCTGAAGGTCAGACAAGGAATGATGGATGGAAACTAATCAAGGAGAGGAGCAATCTGGAAGTAAGGAGAAACTTTCTGACAGTGAGAACTGTCAGACAATAGAACAGAAGTTGCCTTCGGAAGTGGTGGGAGCTTCATCCTTGGAGACTGGACTGCCATCTGCCAGAAATGGTGCAGGGTTGGGACTACATGATCCACAAGGTCTCTTCCAACTCTGTTAATCTGAAATGTGGGACAATTGCCCAAACTGCCTAAAACGTAATCATGTGACAGCAGGGATGGCGGCCCCCGATGTTGGAACGTTGAATCTGGATGATAGGTATCTTTTTTTGGGGGGGGGGGGATCCATCATAACTCTGAACAGTGTTATGGAACCAGTCATAAGTTGAGGACTACCTGTAGAGATTAGGTAATAGGAACTGTTGAAGTGTTTGCTTCTCGCTTCGACATGTCTCACAATAATTGTTCCGAGATAATGAGAGACAGCACTCGTCTTTATGTAATTGCAGCCTGTGGAAAAATATTAATATCTGTGCCGATTCATATATCGGATTGCACCAAGAGATCTTCTGTAGCAAACACAGCTCTTGACTATAGCTATAGAGACCAGCTAGTTTTTGTTTTCACCCCCAGTCTAAAAGCCACGTCTCTGTTCTTCACTTTTGCAGGTTGAGCGTCAGCCAAAATGGGAGTACAACAAATATATGTACATCTACTTTGTGATTTTCATCATCTTTGGCTCTTTTTTCACTCTGAATCTTTTTGTGGGGGTCATTATTGACAATTTTAATCAACAAAAGAAAAAGATAAGTATCCACCTTTCTTGTCTTGCTTTGTGCTCGTGAATGGAAAGGAGAATCTCAAGATTTAGTAGGGAGCCATGCCTGATTGACCTTCTGTAGGTGGAAGGTATCAAAAAGTCAATTTATATTCATTTTTTTCTCCTGTTAGCAGAAAGAAAATTGGGTTGTTTTTTTTTACATACAGTACTTGCAGATTCTTCCTCTCCAGTTTTGGAATAAATTTTGAAAAATGCTTAGTTTTCTGTGAATGTCAGAGGAGAAAAATCTTCTGTTTTCTTCTCTTTTTTTTTTGCGGGCGGGGGAATTGGAAAATTTCAGTTCTGTTGTAGGGTAGGAAAATTGGGGCATGTATATTAGGAGGCAAACACCATTGAGATGAAAACATTTCCATGTTTTTATTCTTAATTCCCCAAATAGCAAATCTGGAACAGAGGATACCTTAGCTTTAGGACAACTTAAGGATTTCAATAAGATCAGCAAAGAGTTTTTGATTTGTTTGTAATAATTCAGCATGACTTCTGAAAAAAGAAAACACGAGTGATGTTTCAAAAATAGGCTGTTGGCTTTGAAACAATGCAAAATGCACTGTCAGTAGTATTTGTTGTGCTTTCTCCTTGTACTTCGGTGGGCAAGACATCTTTATGACAGAAGAACAAAAAAAGTACTATAATGCCATGAAAAAACTGGGATCAAAGAAACCTCAGAAGCCTATACCAAGGCCAACGGTAAGAATACTCTCCAAAGGTTTACCGTAGAATAACCTTGCAAAAATGAACAGGGCTACCAACTTCAAATCAATCTACTTTATCTGAAATGGTTTAGGGTCCCCTGCTTAAGCAGAGGGTTGGATTAGAACAGGAATCGTCAACCTTTTGGACCTCAGGGACCACCAAACTCATAATTTTAAATCCCGGGGACCACTAATATGAATTGATGGTGGCTTGCTGACGTTGGTGGGAGAGAGAGAGAGAGACAGAGAGAGAGAGAGAGAGCGAGAGAGAGCTGATCTAACCTCTCTCTCTCTCTCTCTCTCTCCCTCTCTCACACCCACACACACGGACCCACAAAGGCAGGGGTGGGATTCAAAGTTACTAACAACTAGTTCTGTGGGTGTGGCCTAATTTGTGGGTGTGGCTTGGTAGTCCCATGTGACTGGCTGGGCATGGCTTTTATGTAAATATTATAAATATTTATGTAAATATTCAATTTTTTTATAAAAAAAGAGCAACTCGGCAAAGCAGGCAGGCAGAGTGAGTTGCTCACAAAATCACAGATTCATTCAGAATTCATTCAGTATCTTTCTGCCATCGGCTACCTAAGTCTGTCACATAAAATTTGCTAGCAAGCAAACTCACAAAATTAACTCACAACACACCATGTACGTAAATACTGAATTTTTTTTTTATTTAAAAAAGAGCAACTTTTACCCAAAATCAGGCAAAGCAGGCAATCAGATTGAGTTGCTCACAGAATCACAGATTCATTCAGAGATCTATCTATCTGCCATCCGCTACCTGAGTCTGTACTGAATAATAGAAACTTCAGTCCTAAGGAAGGTTTGGCTCTGCAGAGCTGAAGATCTAAAGATTAGCTAGAAAGCAAGAAATCCAATGGGAAAAATAGCAATTCAGCAGGCAAGTTTGCCAGTTAAAGAGTGAGCAGGCGGGGAGGGTTCCCGCAGGCCATGTGAGCGGTAAAGCCTTGTGTTCCCACGCAGCCTGGATTAATTGCTTTGGGTGTGTGTCCTGGGGGTGAGATTTCTCTGCGAGCCACCACAATTTTCTCACGGACCACCAGTGGGCCATGGCCCACCGGTTGGCAACTACTGCACTAGAAGACCTCCAAAGTCCCTTCCAATTCAGTTATTCTATTCCATTATATACTTATTAGTCATGTTTAATGGACTGATGTAGATCCATCTTTAAATAAGTTTTTATTAAATTTCAGTATAAGATAAAAATATAGAAGAAATAAAAGTCAGGGAAAATAAGAAAAGGAAAGAGAAAAGGGGAAGGAGAGAAAGAAAGAAAAAAGATTCCTAACCTTTTTTTTTTTAAATAGATGCAGTAGATCACAAAGATAATACAGCCTCAGTCTTTTGTTTTACATTTTACAAAATTTGAAGCCAATTCTATCATCACAAAATCCTAATCCTTGAAACCTCAGTTCAGGGCAGCTCACACATTGAAGTTACATAGACCTTGCTGTGAAAATTAAAGTCTCTGGGTAGCCTTCAAAGGCAGCCCCATGTAGAGCATACTGCAGTAATCCAGATGGAGAGGAAGCCAATAAATCTCAGGGTTGAGATTCTCCGTTAGAAGTGGCAGAAATTTCAGTACAGATAGGATAATCAAATTTATAATTAACTAGCAATTCAGACCTTTTCCCAGAGTTAGAAGGATGAACTTCTGCCCTAAAGAAGAGCAATAGATTTTTTTTCCCTCTTGCATCCTAACTTCCTGTGTAATACAGGTAGTCCTCAACTTACAACAGTTCATTTAGGTGACTGAAGTTACAATGACAGTGAAAAAAGTGACTTATGACCATATTTCAAACTTACGACTATTGCAGCACCCCTATGATATGTTCAAAATTCAGACGTTTGCAATTGGCTCATATTTATGACCGTTGCAATGTCCCTGGGATCATGTGATCCCCATTTGCGACCTTCTGACAAGCAAAGTTAATGGGGAAGCCAGATTTGCTTAATGACTGTGTTACTAACTTAAGAACTGCAGTGATTCACTTAACAACTGTGGCAAGAAAGATCGTAAAATGAGGCAAAACTCACTTAACAAATGTCTCTACTTAACAATAGAAATTTTGGGCTCAGTTGTGGCCATAAGTTGACGACTAAGTCAAAGTTGTAGTTACTATAGACAGCAGTTCTTTGTTACACAGATAATAAAATAACACTGAAGCACCAAGAGTTTATTTCCTGATTGCGTTTGATTGTGACATAAATTATTGGGATTGGTTTTGGAAAGTAATGAGTACGGCTGGGCTTGCTTTGGAAAGAATTTGGAAAAAATGTTAGCAGAGGGCCTCTGCTATCATTGAAGGAATTTCAGCATGAGCCAAAACAAATGTTTCAACTGCTTTATAAAAGTTGCATTAATTTTAATGAGCAGAGTCATTAAAGTAGTCACAACTATTTTTTGTTCTGCAAGTCTGAAAAATAAACGACTATTAAAATGAAAGGTAGAAAGGGGCTTTATATGATTTGGGTTTCTGCAAAATCAATACACTTTTCCCCCCAAATATATTTCTGGTATGTGGGGGTCCTTGGTGCTATCTGAGCTTGGTTGTTTGCTTAAAGACATTGCATTACCCAACTAGTTAACACCATCAAACATCTGCAAGCAAACAACCAAGCTCAGGAAGCACAAAAGACCCCAGAGTCGTTGTCCTCCTCCTCCTCCTCCTCCTCCTCCTCCTCCTCCTCTCAGCAAACCCCACTCCCTTCTACCACTGATGATATTACCTTGTTGGGTCATGAAACAACTGCAAAAAACAATCAAACTCAAAGGGCACCACAAGGCTCACAGTTCAATCCTGAGCTACAAATCTCTTCTGTTGATAACTAATCTTATATTCAATCCCGAATAAACTTGCTTCTCTTCTTCTTCCCCCCGTTGCCTGTAGAACAAGTACCAAGGATTCCTTTTTGATATTGTGACTCACCAAGTGTTCGATATTGCCATCATGACTCTCATCTGCCTTAACATGGTTACGATGATGGTGGAAGCAGATGACCAGTCTCAGGAGAAGTTGTATGTCCTAAACAAGATTAACATTCTCTTTATCACCCTGTTCACAACTGAGTGTGCCATGAAGCTGGTGGCCCTGAGACATTACTATTTTATCAACGGATGGAATATTTTTGATCTGGTGGTTGTGATCATGTCAATTGTAGGTAGGTTGATCTTACTGGTTTATTATTATTATTTTTGGCATGCCAGCTAGAATTAAGCACCAAAAACATTTGAAGTCCCCTGCTAAATTTTGCCTACTGAAATAAGTGGAGTCAAGGGTTAAAGAAACATCTCCCTTGCAGATCTTCATTGTGCCCAACTGGACACCATCTCACTATTCCTACAGAGCCATTTTGATGTCCACTTCTCTCCAAAGAGACAGGAGACAATAGCACTTGGTGCTATGGGGCAAAACGAGCCAAGACCTCTCCACAGACCCAAAGGTGTCCCCAAAACTTGTTCAAAGGAAGCAGATGAGGCTTAGTGGCAGAACCTGGATGATCTTCTATGGGATCAGATGTGGTTTTGGTTCTGTTGGTATTAAGAGACCTCTTAATGTTGTAGGTTACACTGGAAGGAGAGGGAGGGAGAGAGAGAGAAATAGGGGGGAAGGCTGGGATGGAGGATAGATAGATAGATAGATAGATAGATAGATAGATAGATAGATAGATAGATAGATAGATAGATAGATAGATAAT